GGCGTCGGGCGGCGTAGGCGGGTGGGGGCTTCGACGACGAATGGGGGCTTCGCACACTCACAGCGACAACGAACACTGGCGTCGACTTCGTTGGCGGGAAACAAGATCCAGCACACAAAAAAAAAAGGGCCGGTAGGCCCCATTTGAACGATTTCAAATTTCGCCCATCTGGGTCGTCGATCTTGAGGATCGACGGCCCAGACGAGCGGGGATTTGAATTCATTCAAACGGGGCCTACCGGCCCTTTTGTTTCTTTTTTCTTACATCTACGGCTTCCTTGGGGGGGGAGAAGCCCCCCCGCGAAGAAAAAAAAAAAAAAAACAACCCCCTCTGTGATGCGCTGAGGTCGCCCGGTGGCCAACCGGGCGGGACGACCGGCCAGGCGGCCCGGCCCCCCGTCCGGGCGACGAGCCGAGCGCCGGGCGGCCCGGAATGCAGCCTAGGGGTTAATTGAGTTGAGTTGGCTCATCATCTGCGTTATATTCCAGTTGTGATCTTCGCAGTGTCATATTGTGATTGGTTGTTGGGAGTTCGTCAGAGAGAGAGAAACACTGAGCGTATTCTCCCCTTCTGTGCATGGTTGCTATTCCGCTGCTTATCTCTGGTCTGTGTGCAGTTGGACTTGTATCCTCCTCCCCTTTGTCTCATGCATGTATGGGCGTGTGTGAGTTCTTCTGTGTGTGAGTGGCAAAAAATTGTCAGACAACCAAGTTCATAACATATACAACGAACAGGTCAGAACAGGGCACCCATCCTCCATCCACGTCAGCAGCAATCAAGGCGGATGGCGCAGATCTTCCTCTTAGAGACGAGCAGCAAAGCACACACGACGTAACAGGTAAGTCTAGGTAAGCTTCTCCTCATCACACACACCAATCTCACAGTCCAGATCCTCCTCCTCCTTGCCCACACTCCTATCAATGTCAAAATAGCTATCGCCACATCAGCATAATTTCCCTCAAGGCTGGTGCCCACCCACAGAATCTGGCGCCAGCATAAAGCTCCAACGGCCTTGCATTGTAGCACCAGCAACAAGCCAGCACCAGGCAGAATGCACAAGGCAAATTGTTGACAAACAGGGGCTGGGTCAACTTTATAGTACTGACTCGTGTTGACCAGCCTCCAGTCTACCTGGGTCGACGGCCCAGATGAATCAGCAGCCGATGGCCTGGATGCAGCGCAGTCCCAATTCCCTGTGTGACAGACTGGAATCTTCTGGATACCTGCAGACAACCAAAGATGTGCATCTGATCAACGGCCGTGGCTGACCTCTGGGCCTGTATTCCCGTACTGGGGTTGAACGTTGACTTCCTCAAAGTCATCGTTCTTTGTAGGGTGAAAGGATTTCACTTAGTCAGTCCCCAAAGGTCCCGGTCCCAATTAATCCGGTAGGCTGCAGTACAGGCAGGGTAGGATGAGGTCGTAGGTAGGTAGCTACAGTACCTGCAAACACGTCAAGTCCCTAAAGTTCAATTTTGCAGCAGCCTCACAACGAAAGTCGGGAACTTTCTTAAAATGGCAATATGGCAAAGGCAGAGGCCGCAGGAGGCTGGTACCGATTGAAGCAGGCACGAACAGCCCACGGCAACTATATATCTTGGGCTACAGTGGCGGAAGGCATTCAGTTGTTCATTTCGCAGAATTGTGGAAGCGCTGTAAGAGCTTGTGCGATCAAGCGACCTGGACGAAGAAGGAGCGCAAGGGGGAGAAGTGTGCAGCGCCTGGCTGCTCTAGTCAGCCATAGCCAGGCGAGAGGGGAGAGGTTCCCCGATGGCCATAGTTGTTGTGTACCCGATTGAACTTCAGTCCACAACGAATTCACACGTTCCCATACACGCATATAATTGCAGAGTAGACTCGACCGGAGAGAAGACATGCACAGTGGAAGCTCGAAATACACAGAGAATTGAAAAACGAATTTCAATTTTGTAATCCCCCGTCCTCCTCCAATCAATCCAAAGTACTTGTTCCAAGAATCACAACCGCGTTTACAACAACCCGAACAACCAAAAACAAGTGTTCAACGAAGTCTACAGGAGTCTTCTTCTTCCTCCTGGCCACCTCATAGCCCTGGCTATGGCTGCCGCAGCAGCAGTAACCCCACAACTGTCACAACCTGCCAGTCTGAACCAGCAACCCCAATATTAGCAGCGCCAGCTCAGCGCCTGCACACCAGTGCAGCGCTGGAAGTCCTGATGAAGAAGGAGACAACCAATCCAATACTTCAAAGAAGATTAAAAAAGCGAAGTTCCTCTTGAGGAGGAACAACAGATATGGCTGCCAAGTGAAGAAAGACAGCGCCCGAACCCAACAACACAGTCTTGTGGAAGCTCC